AGGGCATTATGATTCACACACACAATGTAGGAGGGTCACAGGGAAGGCAGTATAGCACAGAGAAGACAAGTAGTGACTCTATAGCATCATACTATGCTGAGGGACAGTGACTGCAATGGTATTGGGTGGGAGTGAACTTGATAATACAGGTGAATGTAGTAACCACACTGTTGCTCATGTGAAACCTTCATAAGATTGTATATCAATGATACCTTAATAAAGAGAGTAGAGTATGTCTTATAGGAAGGCTCGTGGTTTGGGCTGCTTTGTCTTTATTTTATTATGTATCTTAGCTATATCTTCTCTGGTAGTGCCTCATCCAGAATTATGTAAGAAGTATTTATGAAGTTTTTTCCACATTTCTTAGTTGGTGATAGAATAACAGTATACTTGGTGGGCTAAACAGAATCAGAATTTAAAATTTGCTTTGGGAAATTGATAGTTGAAAGTGCTTCAGATGAAATAATGAAAGTTTAGCTGTCTGTATCCAATTGTATTTCGATGAAGTTTATTCAGCTTTACTTAAGTCAATGAGAGAACTAAAATAAATGCCCAAATTGTTTTGCTTTTCAAAATGTGCTGCTTTTACATTTCATGCCTTCCCCTGGGATGGGTGTACTTGCTTTTTCCAGTTTCGAAAATAATTATGTGTTTAGGTGTTTTGATACATGCAAAAATAAGAGTAATGTAAAATATTTATCATACTAAGCAGAGTGAAGAGGTAATGTGTTTAGTTTGAGAACTTTTTTTTAGGTAAACTGCCTGCCTCTGATGGAAAATTGACATTTTGGGGTCAATTTTACTTAAAAACATACAATAGGTTTGGGATTCTGTAATTTTTTAAAGTGTGGCATTCATCCAAGTTACATGTTGGGTATTTTGTTTACAGTTTATTAGGCTTTTGTTTTTCTTTTTAAAATTTATCAGCCCGTCCTTTGTCCAGAGGGTACCTAGTTTAGGATATAGATTTTTCTGATGTTTTTCCAAAGCAGTGGTGAGCCATTTCTTCATTTTGTCTTATGAATAGATTTAAACATCTTTCTTATTTAAATTATTACTTGCGGATGGATGACTTATTTTCTGTTCTTAGTTGGTACTTTAAATAAATATGGAAATATTAAAAAAGATTTTCAGGAATTTCTTTGACCTAAATTGAAAAGGATGAAAGAATAAATGTACTCATTGTTCTCCTGTTCTACAGCTAATTTTAGTTTTTTTGTTACCAAAATGTTTAAAGTTATCCTGAGTTTTAAATGCAGCATAGGACCTGATGAATTAAAACTAGGTAGTCAGTTCCTTACAACTAACAATTGCTTTTTTCTGAGATTGATCTGTGTGTAATTTTTGCCAATAAACAGAAAAAGTGAGAAGCTAAATTCAGTTAGCTAGTTACTACATACTGTATTTGATAACTAGATGAGGGTTTCAAATATACAGTTTTTAAGGCTTTCGTTTTTATATCACTATAGTAATTTTAATCTAAAACATGAATTATTCCCATTTTACTGATGAGGAAACTGAAGTTTCAGGAGCATGGTTTGTGTGATTTTTTTTTTTTTAAGTCTCTTAAGGGTACACTGGGCACTACTTGCACTTTGAAAGTAATTACATAGACTGTTACTGTAGTATTCCTACAAAAGTATTCTGTATACTTTGACAAATGAAATGTGTGGTATTTGATCTATTGCCATTCTAAGGAAGCACTAAGGTTTTATATTTAAGAAATACATGTAAGCTTTTGAGAGCCTAACAAAATGTTTTGCTCACAGCCACTTCTTTTTAGGAGAAATATGTACCAGTTGAGAATCATTTGCTTTTCATTTATAACAGATTGCTAAGTTACAAGATCTTTGAAGGCAAGGGTTATCTCAGAATACTTTGAAGCCCGTGCAGTGTCTAGCACATATTAAGAGGTCATATTTGGTTGACTTTGAACTACTGTAAGTCAGGAAAAATTTTACCTTACTAGTTTCTAGAAACCTAGAGTTTCTGGCAAAGGATTAGAAATGTAAAGATTGAAAAGAGAGTTTGGAAATTAAGAATTTCATAGTGATCATTTCTTTTCCATTGAGACTTTTCCTTTTCTAGATTAAGTGCAATATTTTCAAAAACTTACTGTAATTTTGAATCATGCCTGATGGAGGAACCAAGGACACAGAAAAAGCATTAAGAGGATGGATTGCTGTTTGGATGTGCTGTAATGAAAGACAAAGGGTATTGTTTTTAAAGTTTTGATGAGTAAACATTTTTACTGACCACCCATTGGTCAGTAACCACTACACACATATTTGAGTACTTGAGTTTAGAAAAAAGTGAACATCCTTATGGTGATGAAATTTGAATGTTCCATGTTTAAAATAGCAGATTCAGCTGGTGCAGAGAGATTGCCAGTCATTTTAAGCAGTAGTTAATTAGTGGTTTCCAGTTTCTGAGATCTTCACCTCCATTTCTCATTTTTATTCATCACTGGTCTACTCCCTCTACCATTTTTCTTCCCTTTTACCTGTTTTTCTGTTACTATGGGATAAAATCAGATCAGATGTTTATTCAGCAAGACACAATAAGGCTTTCATGATTTGGCTTCTGGTTACCTTTAAGCTTCATTTCCTGCTATTTCATTGCTGATTTGACTCAGTGCCTTGCACATGTGTCTGCCTTGAATCTCCTCCACTCCCTAGCCTTCTAACCTATTTCCATCCTCTCATCACTCTCTTCTTTCTCAATTACTTTTAATAAGTATCCTAACACATTTCAGTTATGAAAGAATCAGGCCATGTTGCAATCATTTGCTTGCATGTATGTTTTCTTACTTAAGAAAGTAGGTGTGTGTCTTAGTCATCTTTAGATCCACCAGTACTCAGCATTGTATATGAACTATAGTTGTTTTGCAGTTAATGTTTATCTAGAAGTTCCAAATTCTATGTGTGTTTAAGCCCCATATATCCAGTGTGGTAATTGTTTCTTTCTCCTTTTATCCTTCCTCTTCAGGGCACCTTCAGTATTCATGCCATTTTCTGCCTTAGTGTTATATGATTGTAACATTTGTGGAGTTTTAGTGATCAAACAGCACTTTTTTGGCTATTCTCACCTGTTTTATAAACTCTGATGCTTAGGTAAGGAAATTTAGATTTACAGGTCTGACTGAGGGTGTAAAAGTACATAAGTAATAAGGGAAACTAAGACTCAGATTCTTAGACTTCTTGTGTAGCATTGGTTTCATTATATAAGAGCTACATCATTCAAGTTCTCTTTTCTCCCTTGGCCATCTATATTTTTTCATTATATAAAGTCTTCAGTGTGCTGCTTCAGGGCTGATCTTTAAGTACACGGACAGAATTTTTATACATTTTCAAGGTATATACAAATAAATGCTTTTAAAAAAAGGTGTTTATCATTCAGGTAGTTCAACTTAATATTATTTAAAATAAAGTGAAGCTCAAAAAATCTATTTTATAATATGTTGTATTTATATTCTTCTTTGAAAAAAACATATTCATTTTCTTAGCAAATATTTGAGTGTTCTCTGTCTGCCAGGTCCTGTATGGGAATAAAGAGATGAATAAAAAGTAACCTGTTCCTTGCCCATTTAAAATAAAGCCCACCTGCTTATGGGGAAGACTCACATTAACAAATAAGTATAACACTGCAATTCCAGGAAGAGCGAGCAGTAAGTGCATAGTAGTCATGGAGGCTTTCTCAAGAGAAGTATAAGATGGGTAGTAGTTTGCCTGTATGGGGGCACGTGAGGCAGGAAGTGAGGAAATTGTCCATATAGAGAAAACCTGTTACTGGAGGGAGTAGTAGCCAGTGTGGCTAGAAGCCTTATCAGGGAGAATTTTGTTGTGAGATGAGGCTAGTATGAGAGGTGGGGGCCAGACCATGCAGGGCATGAAGAACCTTGTCATTGTCCTAAAACCAACTTTTTAAGCAAGAGGTATGACCACTTAAAAAAACAAATGCAGTAATTTTAAGAAACAGTATTTAGTTGGTGGCTAGGGAAGGGTAGAGATGGATAGTAGGTGGATTCAGAAGATATTGAGGAGATAAAAATGGTAACACTTGGATGTTTTGGATAGGGAAGGAGTAGTAGAAGGGGTAATTTCAGTGGTGGATTTCTGGCTTGAAAAAGCATATAGATAGTAGTGTCATCAGGGAGGCTTTTAGGGAGTAAATAAGGAAGAAACAGATCATGAGTTCAGTTTTTGTGCCATCTAAGAAAAAATCTAAAACAAGCAATTAGAAATTCAGGTCTAGGGCTGAAAAGACAGGCCTGGGCTGATTATAATCAATTTGTGAGTCATTTGTACATAGTAAATTGAAGCCATAAATACAGATGAGATCATCTTGAAAGTGCAAGAAGGGCATATGGTTTAGAAAAAGGCAAAAATAAAAGGTCATTAAGGAGAGAATGTTTCAGAGGCTGAAATGGCTTAACTAGGGTTTTTGGGTACACAGGACAGATACAGAACTTCCAGGATTTCAACAATATGTCGTAATTTCCTGTGGTCTAACTTGTCAGATACTCAAAGTATATTAATATTACCAAAAATATTTTAAAGGGCTTCAGAATTACCACTTCCTATAATTGTAACCTATATTACTTTAATCCTTTTCTATTTCTCTGCTTTCCAGACTGATTACAAGTCAGTCTGGAATGGATTATGTATTTTTAAATCTTTGTTTGGTTCTATCATACAAATTCTGTAACTGAATAGAAATAGTATATTTATTGAAAATCTATACCTTGATTGTATTATTTTGTTTTTGGCATAATATCTGTGTGCCTCATTGCCTCCAAATAAAATTAATGGCATACAAGTCAGATTTTTCTACACAAGTTAAAATTTTAACTTTTTTCTCTTTCATTTTTGTATCCCTGTTGCCTGGTATGAGGCTTACATATAATAAGTGCTGAGTAAGTGTTTTCTGAATTATGAATCAAGATACTGGAAAAGTTAAAACATGATTTTAATGTTATGTATTTTTTCTCCTTTTCTTAGGATGGCTGGCTGTGGTGAAATTGATCACTCATTAAACATGCTTCCTACAAACAGGAAAGCGAATGAGTCCTGTTCAAATACCACACCTTCTCTAACTGTCCCTGAATGTGCCATTTGTCTGCAAACATGTGTTCACCCTGTCAGTCTGCCTTGTAAGCATGTTTTCTGCTATCTGTGTGTAAAGGGAGCTTCATGGCTCGGGAAGCGATGTGCCCTCTGTCGGCAAGAAATACCTGAGGATTTCCTTGACAAGCCAACCTTGTTGTCGCCAGAAGAACTCAAGGCAGCAAGTAGAGGACATGGTGAGCATGCGTGGTATTATGAAGGACGAAACGGGTGGTGGCAGTATGACGAGCGCACTAGCAGAGAGCTGGAAGATGCTTTTTCCAAAGGTAAAAAAAGCACTGAAATGTTAATTGCTGGGTTTCTGTATGTTGCTGATCTTGAAAATATGGTTCAATATAGGAGAAATGAACATGGACGTCGCAGGAAGATTAAGCGGGATATAATAGATATACCAAAGAAGGGAGTAGCTGGACTTAGGCTGGACTGTGATGCTAATACCATAAACCTAGCAAGAGAGAGCTCTGCCGATGGAGCGGACAGCGTATCAGCACAAAGTGGAGCTTCTGTTCAGCCTCTAGTGTCTTCTGTAAGGCCCCTGACGTCAGTAGATGGTCAGTTAACAAGCCCTGTGACACCATCCCCTGATGCAAGCACTTCCCTGGAAGACTCTTTTGCTCATTTACAACTCAGTGGAGACAGCACAGCAGAAAGGAGTCACAGGGGGGAAGGAGAAGAAGATCATGAATCCCCTTCTTCAGGCAGGGTACCAGCACCAGATACGTCCATTGAAGAAACTGAATCAGATGCCAGCAGTGATAGTGAGGGTGGATCTGCGCTTGCTGCACAACACTCCTTGACCCAACAGAGACTTTTGGTTCCAAATGTAAACCAGACAGTATCAGATCGATCAGGAACTGATCGATCAGTAGCAGGGGGTGGACCAGTGAGTGTCACTGTCAGATCTAGAAGGCCTGATGGACAATGCACAGTAACCGAAGTTTGAATAAAAGTCTTTCGCTCCATGCTCAGAATGGTTATCTGTAAATTTCTGCCCACATAACATTATACTCATCCCTAGTAGTGCATTTTGGGAGTTGGGGTGGGAAGGGGTATAGGAAGGATAGACCTGTATGTAATTAAAATGTCTAACATGTCTCTCGAGAAATTTATTTAATATAAGGAACATGGGTGTTAATAGTTGAGAGCTGTTTTAGTAATGACCCAGTTTTCTTGAAGTCTGTTTATTTTACAGTTTTTAAATTTCTTCAGCTCTTTTTGGCCAGTGTGTGTGTATTAACTGCACTAATGGTCCTCATCTGACTTTTACATTGTGTCTTATTTTTCTGCATGAATTAATATAAAACCATTACTAAAATTTGGCTCCTATGAGATGTCTGGTATCAGTATGAACAGGAAGCTTAATGTGAGAATAGATGTGAATTTGGGATTTTAAAATAGATGAATAACAACTATTTAATAGTAAATTACTGAAATGGAAATGTAAAGAAAACAGCTTAATTTATGTTTCAGAATCTTCTCTATAACACACCTCATGGCGTCCCCATAGGCTTTGCTGTCTAGTCCTTGTAGTTCGAGATTTGATCTGCATTTTTTTTTGATGACAGAATTTATAATTTAATAAATATGAGTTTATCAAAAATAATTTGTCTCTTGTTTGAGTATGAAAAGAGGATGAGAACATTTTGGTATTAGTGGGCAAAGGTCACTAAAATGGTGGTGGTTTGAATTTGTTACGGGTTGAGCTTATTCTCCTACTTCTTGTCCCGCCGCAACAAAGAACTGACACGCAGTGACAACAGTAGCAAAGCAGAGTGAAAGTTTTATTTGAATGCACTCCAAGGGAGGACCAGGCCAGAGGAGAGGCAGACAAAGGCACGTTTCCTTGAACCTTACAGTCCCCTTTCCCAGCTGCTCATATCTATCTTTGTACCTAACATTCCTAACAAATTGGTGGTATTCAACTTAGTCACCTGCTCACAAATTTGATTTCTTAAACAACATAGTGCAGACCATACATATTTTAGATTTTCCTTGCTAGTATTCATTAGTGGTCCAACAGTAATCTGAATTAAATAGTAATTATTTATAAACAGCATTCATAGACACAAATTCACTTCAACACAAAATATTGTAGAATCTATGGCATGGTAGAAGTGTTGGTTTAACTTGGTAATCCAGAACTTGGTTCTGAAAAAAGGTTGTGAGTTTGTCTTTCCATATTTTCCTAACTCAAAACAGTAGGATCATCTTGATGAAGTATATGCAAGTTATTTTTAATTTGACTTTCCGCTGTGAATTGAATGTTACAGTAGCAAATAAAAACTATCACTACTTTGAAATCACCTTTTATCTTTTATGATAGGTTAGAATTGAGACTTCATTCTTTGACTTAAGTGCTTTTTAAAATCTGTATACTGACATAAAAGTCAGTTGTGCATTTTTATTCAATTTACTTTTAAAAGAAGAAAGGTTAGCTACTTTTCTGAAAAAAAATAGAAATTTGATGTAAAAAGCAAATGTATGTTGCAGGTTGCTTCATGAGTCCCTTTTAAGACTTAGGCAGTTTTGATGTAAATTTGTTTTATTACTACATAAACAGTAATACTAACAGTTTGGAAATTCCAGGGTACTCGAATAAATAGCCAATTCTGTAGTCAACAGACTTTCCACATAATGGCTATCATTATTTAGTAAATACTTTAAAATAGAGAATTATAGTATCAAATAAGGCTCCAAATTTGTAGGGGGTGTAGTGGGTAGCATCTTAATTTAAAAGAAGGGCCGCTCTCCAAGACTGTTATACTCCAGCTGCCTGGAGCAGAAGAAAATGATTGGTCATACCTTTCCTTATCCCTTTGTCCCCAGACTCATCACCTTTCTTTAACTACAAGTTTCATTAAGTTATTTTGTAAGTTATTTCCGGGTTAAGACAGTACGAAGACTTCTTGGGAAATAGCCTCAGCAACAGTTTTGTGTGGAAGTTTTTCCTTTTAAATGCTAGTCTTTGGTTATATAAGAGTTATTTTGGGAATTTGGAAATTGATGGTAATTTTTAAGCCAAAAATATTGCATAGTTTAGCCAAATGTTGCACATTAGTTGGTAAGTACCCACATATATTAAAACTAGATCAACGAGTTCAAAAACACCAACCCAAATGCTAGTAGTAGCCTTCAAAGTGATTCTGACATCCATAATTATAAATACCATTTAGCTTTTACACATACTAATCACTGGAGTTTTACCTGCAGTACATATTTTAAAAAACTATTCATTAAATTTTGTTTTCCTAGCAATAGCATCTAAATTTGCAGGTCCACCCCAAACTGTTCCTAAAAGATCTCTTTCATTCTGTAATGCCTCCTCTAAACAAAGCTCTTTGCCTGAAGAAACACATTTTTTCAAAGCTCTAATTACTTCTGTGATTCTGACATCCATAATTATAAATACCATTTAGCTTTTACACATACTAATCACTGGAGTTTTACCTGCAGTACATATTTTAAAAAACTATTCATTAAATTTTGCTTTCCTAGCAATAGCATCTAAATTTGCAGGTCCACCCCAAACTGTTCCTAAAAGATCTCTTTCATTCTGTAATGCCTCCTCTAAACAAAGCTCTTTGCCTGAAGAAACACATTTTTTCAAAGCTCTAATTACTTCTGTGATTCTGACATCCATAATTATAAATACCATTTAGCTTTTACACATACTAATCACTGGAGTTTTACCTGCAGTACATATTTTAAAAAACTATTCATTAAATTTTGCTTTCCTAGCAATAGCATCTAAATTTGCAGGTCCACCCCAAACTGTTCCTAAAAGATCTCTTTCATTCTGTAATGCCTCCTCTAAACAAAGCTCTTTGCCTGAAGAAACACATTTTTTCAAAGCTCTAATTACTTCTGTGATTCTGACATCCATAATTATAAATACCATTTAGCTTTTACACATACTAATCACTGGAGTTTTACCTGCAGTACATATTTTAAAAAACTATTCATTAAATTTTGCTTTCCTAGCAATAGCATCTAAATTTGCAGGTCCACCCCAAACTGTTCCTAAAAGATCTCTTTCATTCTGTAATGCCTCCTCTAAACAAAGCTCTTTGCCTGAAGAAACACATTTTTTCAAAGCTCTAATTACTTCTGGAGGCCCTTTGATGAACTGCTTTAGCCATTCTTGTGCCTCTTGTAGACATTCAGCTTCATCTGAACACTGCAAGATCTCATCGGCCATTCCTATGCGTAAAGCTTTCTTTGAATCCAGTTTGAGGGCTCCACTTAACACTTTGAGAGCTTGTCTACTGCCAATTATTTCAACCAGCCGGGAAGTACCGCCCCAGCTTGGTATTATACCCATCTCCTTGTGCACAAATCTGATCTCACTCTCTGTAGTCATTAATCTGTGAAAAGAGAAAAAAATACTTAATTGTAACTAATTTTATATGCTTTAGTCACAGAGTACTATCCATTCATGATCGGATCTAAAATCTCGGCACTTCACAGGTAGATCCTACCATACTAAAACCCGAATGTTCAAAAAGTCTAAGTATAGCGTTCAATTTACTACACAGTACTTTATACTTCCATTTGAAAATTTGTTGTTGTTGTGCTTACTTATCCTTTACTTGACAAGTAAGAATCTAGCTTTTATTTTATGTATATTTCTCAAAGCCCAAAGTGTTCTTTTCTAAAATGAGTGGTGGTGAAATGAGAAAACCTGGATTAAGTGAAAATTTGGGGATAGGAAATGTTAGATGTCCGCCATGAAAAAAAGATGCTTAGTAAGTTAAGGCAGTAGTCCATGGGAGGTGGATGGGGGAAACTGTTTCTTAACCCAGCATTTATTCCGTCTTCTGGCAAATACTTAAAAAGCACCACCAATGCCATGTTGTCTAGGTGTGGGACTATAGGAATGACCAAAATAAAATCTCTGCACTCCGTTTACATTTCTATTAAAAAAAGACAGAACGATACAATGTCAATGGTGGTTAAGTGCTGTAAATAAAAAATGGGGCAAGGGACTAGAGAATGAGGATATGTTTATTGGAGAAGGCCTCTGAATATTTGAGCAGTTACGTGAGTGCATGTGTGCATGAGTGAGTGAGTGGGTGAGTGGCGAGAAAATTGGTCGGGGGTGTTCAGGAAGAGGAACTGGAGGTGCAAAGGCCTTGAAGTAGATCTGATTAGTGTCTTTGGGAAACAGGTTAATGGAGCTGGAGTAGAGTAAACATTAATGGGAGATGAAATCAGAGAGGTAGGTTTATGGGCCTTGGATAGGAGTTCAGATTTTTTCAAGTATAGAGCTATTCAGGGTAGGTTGACCAAGGGAGTAATAACTGACTTATCTTATATGAGTTGCCTAGTTGCAGTATTAAGACTTTATTTAGCATTACACATGGACTGTTTAAAGAATTTTATGTTAACTAACCTTCAGAACAACTGTACAAAGTACAGCAATATCATTTTACAGAGGGAAACTGAGGCAACAAATTAACTGCTCCCTCAAGACTATGGACCTATAACAGAGCCAGAATTTAAACCTGGGTAGGTTGGTTTCATTGTGTGTGCTCTTAACCCCACGGTATGCACAGAAGTTAGCTCGACTCGAGTGAAGACAGCAACGCCATTAAGAAAGTTGGCAGTGGGTTGGGTTCGACTGAAAGCAGTGATTTTCCATAGCAAGGATTCATTTCCTGCGAAGTGGGATTTCTTTATGAATAGGGTGATTAATATGGAAAGTGGAATAAAGGAGAGTTAACAGAAAGAAACGGTATAGTAAAAGGTTTCACAACTGCCAGTTAAATATTTGTATACTATTAATAGACTACATAAAGCTATACTGGTTAAGGGATGCTGCCTATGAGTTTTGTTTTGACTATGCTTCAAAGAAAAGCTTTCACTCCATTGAAACCTCTAATTTGGACCAAAGGTCATGTCTGAATTTTAATCTTTTAAGAAAAATTACTGATTTCAAACTACCTATTAAAAGAAAAAAAGACAACCCTAAATTAGTTTGGCTTTCCAAAGTGTTCAGTGTTCGGCTACAGGTGGTTTGGTTCTGTCAGCACCAAGAACAATAGACTCTTTAGTCTCTGACCCTTTAATCAGAAGAACTATTCCAGTAGAGAATTCTCACAAAAGCTTATCTATTAACGTACTGGGAAAGAGAACTTTCTCTTCCCAGCTGTGAAATCCCACAAAGGAAAATCTGTCCCAATTATGAACAGTTGCCTTTAAAAGAAAATAGCCATGAGAATAGTTTACAATAAATAATTTTTAAATGGGAAGAACAAATCTAAGACTCTGAGTCTTGCCTAAAACTGAGGAGTACTGGCTTGTTATAATAAATAGAAAACAATGTCAGAAATTAAGAAAGTGGACTAGAAATTACAGAAAAGATGTCTACAAGTATGGAGATAGGAACATTACTGATACTGAACACAGTCCTATAAAGCTTTTCAGAGTAAATTAAATATGGCACAGTTCTGAATTATATCCTGGAATTGAGACAGATTGAAAGGGTGTCTCGCCGCAACACTACTTACTCCAGAACGACTCAGGCCCACGCAAGAGATTTTGTTATCTGAAAGAGAAAATGGCTGCCCCCAGAGAGAGAGCAGCCTCGTGGTGCAGAGCGTTGTGCCTTTTATAGTGGCAGAGTGGAAAAGTACCGCTTGGCCTGTTGCCTTAGGGGTGGGTCAGAATATTTAGAGATAAGGTGAGGCAAGTCTAGACATGATTTTCACTGGCCTATGTGCTTGGGACCATGGGGTAAATGGAGGATAAAGTACTATATTCTTATACAGATGTTGGCTCAGAGCTATGCCTACAATACAGGAAACGATTATGTCAGGAATAAATTCATTTAGAATCAGGAGAACATGAAACTTGTTAAAGCCCTAGATGTTGGGATAATGCAGGTGAACTTATGACAACAGAAGTTTCATCTATGTTAGCACATTTATACCTAAATTCTCTGCCTCTAAAGAATTTTCATCACCATCTTCATACAATGTGGGTTTTTTTCCCTTCCCATATTTTACATGAGGTATGCCTTTCTAACTCATATTTTACAACTCTTAACAGATCCTGAGGTAATCTTTGTAAGAACACCTCTTGTGATCAAAATCTGACGTCCATTCTTTTGATAGCATATACCTTAATTAGTTTGGCTTTCCAAAGTGTTCAGTGTTCGGCTACAGGTGGTTTGGTTCTGTCAGCACCAAGAACAATAGACTCTTTAGTCTCTGACCCTTTAATCAGAAGAACTATTCCAGTAGAGAATTCTCACAAAAGCTTATCTATTAACGTACTGGGAAAGAGAACTTTCTCTTCCCAGCTGTGAAATCCCACAAAGGAAAATCTGTCCCAATTATGAACAGTTGCCTTTAAAAGAAAATAGCCATGAGAATAGTTTACAATAAATAATTTTTAAATGGGAAGAACAAATCTAAGACTCTGAGTCTTGCCTAAAACTGAGGAGTACTGGCTTGTTATAATAAATAGAAAACAATGTCAGAAATTAAGAAAGTGGACTAGAAATTACAGAAAAGATGTCTACAAGTATGGAGATAGGAACATTACTGATACTGAACACAGTCCTATAAAGCTTTTCAGAGTAAATTAAATATGGCACAGTTCTGAATTATATCCTGGAATTGAGACAGATTGAAAGGGTGTCTCGCCGCAACACTACTTACTCCAGAACGACTCAGGCCCACGCAAGAGATTTTGTTATCTGAAAGAGAAAATGGCTGCCCCCAGAGAGAGAGCAGCCTCGTGGTGCAGAGCGTTGTGCCTTTTATAGTGGCAGAGTGGAAAAGTACCGCTTGGCCTGTTGCCTTAGGGGTGGGTCAGAATATTTAGAGATAAGGTGAGGCAAGTCTAGACATGATTTTCACTGGCCTATGTGCTTGGGACCATGGGGTAAATGGAGGATAAAGTACTATATTCTTATACAGATGTTGGCTCAGAGCTATGCCTACAATACAGGAAACGATTATGTCAGGAATAAATTCATTTAGAATCAGGAGAACATGAAACTTGTTAAAGCCCTAGATGTTGGGATAATGCAGGTGAACTTATGACAACAGAAGTTTCATCTATGTTAGCACATTTATACCTAAATTCTCTGCCTCTAAAGAATTTTTATCACCATCTTCATACAATGTGGGTTTTTTTCCCTTCCCATATTTTACATGAGGTATGCCTTTCTAACTCATATTTTACAACTCTTAACAGATCCTGAGGTAATCTTTGTAAGAACACCTCTTGTGATCAAAATCTGACGTCCATTCTTTTGATAGCATATACCTAGGTTGTCCTTATGCACTATTATATGTTAGTAAATATGAAAAAGACATTTATTAGTGACAAAAGAAAGGTAGTTTACTCTAACAATGAAATATGGAACATTTCAGATGGTAACCTTTCAGAGAATCTAACTAAAAATTAAAGTTTAAATATAAAATTTAAATGTTCACCAAAATTAATGAGTAAAATGTCCAATCAACAAGATATATCTAAAAAGAGAAACGGCTTCATGACTTTGCTGGATTATATACTACTTCTAGAATTTAGATACAGTTGACTGGTACCATCTGTACTGTAATTCACTGCAAGAGATAATCTAGCCACGTAGAGCACTGGAAGACCTACATCTCAAAATTCTCAATACTTAGAGCAGAGTCAATTTATAAAACCATATTAAGCTCCCATATTTTGACAAGTAGAAGATAATTATAAGTATCTTCTGTTAGTGTAATCATTGGCAATGTTTAAAATTTCCTGTGACACTTGGAGAGAAGTGAAATGGGGAAATTAAACTGGTTTCACTTTTCTTTACTCTATGGATACACCAGTGATATTGGAAAATTAACTATGGAAAGAGTATCATCTTTGACAGGGCAGCAAAATTGGTGTTGATACCTGAAATTATTCAGTGTACTAGAACTCTGATGAGTTTGCTGTAAGTTGTAGGTCTTTGAACAAATGTATCTAAGAACAATTTTTTTTTAATTATCAAAATGTACTAAAATGCGAAGTTTTTAGTAAAAGAAAAAAATTGTTTGTTTTGAAAGAAAGGTATTAGTGAACTCTGATGAAAAAAAGAAATACATCAATAATTGTGACAGCTTTGATGTGAAGTGCATATAGACTTGAGCCACACTTCCTGGCTTGGCCACTACACTGGCTGGCTGTATACTACCCCCTTGTAAAATACAGCAAAGAAAAAAGACACATGGTATAAAAAGGATGAGGAAGATGAAATTACTTAACATCTCTGGGACTCAGTATACTTGTTTATAAAATAGATATAATAATAGTACTTTGCCATAGAACTATTGTTAAGAATTAAATGAGTTAACATATGAAAGGTGCTTAGCACATATATATGCCA